CTCTGTTCCAAACTTTCAAACATATTATGGATCTATGCCGAGAAATCCATCTCAAACACCCCCGTTTAATGGTTATGTGACAATGGCGAATGCAAATTTTCCAAGTGGTGGTGTACCTGAATTTCCCGAGTTTTCAACACAACTAACTATTGGTGGCATGATTGTTTCTAATGAAGTCGGTCCGAATTCAGAGGATTCAACTCCTAAGAGCAGGAAAACTCAGCAACCTGCATGGAACACTGAACAAAATTTGGTTCTAATTAGTGGGTGGATTAAATTTGGAACAAGCAGTGTTGTCGGGAGAAACCAGAAAGGTGAAACATATTGGGGTAAAATTGCTGAGTATTGTAATGAGCATTGCTCATTCGATCCTCCGCGTGATGCACCTGCATGCCGAAACCGTTTTAATTATATGAACAAAGTGTTGGGTAAATGGATTGGCGCTTATGATGGCGCTAAGCGTATGCAAGGAAGTGGTTGGTCGGAGAATGATGTTTTGGCAAAAGCGCAGGAATTATATGCATGTGGGAAGAATGTTAAATTCACTTTAATGGAAGAATGGCACGCTCTCCGTGATCAACCACGTTATGGTAGTCAAGTAGGAGGAAATATTGGCTCAGGAAGTAGTGGATCTAAGAGATCTCGCGAGAGTGATGCATGTGGCTCAAACACTGTAGAATCCAGTGCTCGTCCTATAGGAAGGGAGGCAGCTAAAAAAAAGGGTAAAAAGAAAAGCAAGGAATATGCCTCGGAGGTGGTGGACAAAGAATGGGCTGAATACAAAGAATTCAAGACGAAAGAGCTTGAACGATTGGACAACATAGCGTTGATGCAACAGCAGGCTAACAATATAGCCTTGGAGAAGACTAAAACCAAGAAAATGAAGATGTATCTAAAGCTAACTTCCGAAGAGCATCTAGATGACCGGAAGAACCAGCTGTTGAAAAAGTTGGAGGCAGAACTATTTGATAATTAATTTCAATGAAGTATTTGTCAGTGTTGTGTTTGCTTTAATTATTGTTGTTTCAATATGCCAGTGTAGTGTTTGCTTTAATTATTGTTGTTTCAATATGCCAGTGTAGTGTTTGCTTTAATTATTGTTGTTTCAATATGCCAGTGTAGTGTTTGCTTTAATTATTCCTTATCTGATAATTAACTCTATACAATAAATTATTTCGAATCCGTCAGTGGTCCACCACCCAATTCGAATCTATTCCTTATCTGATAATTAACTCTATACAATAAATTATTTCGAATCCGTCAGTGGTCCACCACCCAATTCGAATCTATTCCTTATCTGATAATTAACTCTATACAATAAATTATTTCGAATCCGTCAGTGGTCCACCACCCAATTCGAATCTATTCCTTATCTGATAATTAACTCTATACAATAAATTATTTCGAATCCGTCAGTGGTCCACCACCCAATTCGAATCTATTCCTTATCTGATAATTAACTATATACAATAAATTATTTCGAATCCGTCAGTGGTCCACCACCCAATTCGAATCTATTCCTTATCTGATAATTAACTATATACAATAAATTATTTCGAATCCGTCAGTGGTCCACCACCCAATTCGAATCTATTCCTTATCTGATAATTAACTATATACAATAAATTATTTCGAATCCGTCAGTGGTCCACCACCCAATTCGAATCTATTCCTTATCTGATAATTAACTATATACAATAAATTATTTCGAATCCGTCAGTGGTCCACCACCCAATTCGAATCTATTCCTTATCTGATAATTAACTATATACAATAAATTATTTCGAATCCGTCAGTGGTCCACCACCCAATTCGAATCTATTCCTTATCTGATAATTAACTATATACAATAAATTATTTCGAATCCGTCAGTGGTCCACCACCCACATCCATTTATATATAGGGACTCATACATCCATTTATGTACCAATATCCCAAATCCCATCCAATCTAGCTACCTCCAATATCACAAAAAAATGGATCCATCACAATATCATTTTGATATCGCAGCCTACAATCAAAATCGTGAAATTGAAGAAAATTATATAGTCAATCGATTTAGAGAGCGTAGAAACAAAATATCGGAAGATAATGCACCTCGTAGTAGAAAATATCTCAATAGAGATCATGCAGCGGCAAACCAAAGACTGATTGACGACTACTTTGCCAATGAGCCTACATATGACGATGCAATGTTTCGTCGTCGGTACCGGATGAAAAAAAATGTTTTCCTTCGAATCGTTGGGGACCTTTCAAGTAGTGATAACTACTTCACCCAACGAGTTGATGCAGCCAATAAAGAAGGTATATCACCCTTAGCAAAATGTACCACAGCAATGCGAATGTTAGCATATGGTGTGGCAGCAGATGCGGTCGATGAGTACATCAAAATAGGAGGTACTACAGCATTGGAGTGCTTACGTCGATTCTGTAAAGGAATCATACGCTTGTACGAGCAAGTGTATCTGAGAGCACCAACCCAAGATGACCTGCAAAGAATACTGCATGTTAGTGAAATGCGGGGGTTCCCAGGGATGATTGGGAGTATTGACTGCATGCACTGGGAGTGGAAAAATTGTCCTAAAGCATGGGAAGGACAATTTACTAGAGGGGATAAGGGAACCACCACAGTTATTCTTGAAGCAGTTGCATCTCATGACCTATGGATCTGGCATGCCTTTTTTGGATGTCCGGGAACGTTGAACGATATAAACGTTCTAGACCGGTCACCAGTGTTTGATGACGTGGAACAGGGAAAGGCTCCAAGTGTGAATTTCTTTGTGAATCAACGTCCATATAATATGGCATACTATCTAGCTGATGGTATCTACCCTTCTTATCCAACTTTCGTCAAATCGATTAGACTTCCTCAAAGTGAACCCGATAAATTATTTGCAAAATTTCAGGAGGGATGTCGGAAGGACATCGAACGTGCATTTGGAGTGCTCCAAGCTCGATTTAAAATCATCTGTGAACCAGCTCGCTTGTGGGACATAGCTGATTTGGGTATCATCATGAGGTCATGCATCATATTACATAATATGATTGTTGAGGATGAACGAGATTCATATTCTCAACGTTGGACCGATTTTGAGCAGTCTGGGGAAAGTGGATCTAGTGCACCACAACCATACTCGACCGAGGTGTTACCCGCTTTTGCAAATCATGTGCGTGCTAGATCAGAGTTCCGTGATCCAAATGTTCATCAAGAATTGCAAGCCGATCTAGTGAAGCACATATGGACAAAGTTTGGAATGTTCCGTGATTGAATTATTTGTGTGTTGTATTGCATTTTAAATTATTTGTATCGTACTAATTACGTTACTTGTGTGTTGTATTGCATTTTAAATTATTTGTAACGTACTAATTACGTTAATTGTGTGTTGTATTTTAAATTAATTTAAGATGATTTGTATCGTATCCAATTATTTAAATAAATTTTGTTTTTATTACAAAAAATTAAAAAATAAATTATTAAGTATTTATTATTTTAATTTAATTTTAATCGATAATTGTAATTTTATGTAATCATAAAAATAAAAATAAAATTTAAATAAGAATATGAAAATAAAAAGTGGTGGGGTAGGGTGTTGAGTGAAAAACCATTGGAGAGGGTAAAAGTTGAATGAGTGTTGAGTTATTAGGTGGAAGAAAGAGAAAATGATGTAGAGTGTTGGGAGTTGAAAAAGTGGGTGTTGAGTTGAAAAACCATTGTAAATGGTCTAATATGACAGTTGAAAATGAAAAGCTAGGTGTTTATGACTAATATCATGTTTCCATTATATGTGCTGGGGCTTAAATATCAGGGTTCAAAATTGCCTTCTCATGAAATGAACGATTGTTTTTTGCTACAATTTTTAGCAAAGTTCAGTATTAATCGACATGGAAATTGTTCGATCATGCTTTATTTATATATTTATTATTTATGATAAAAAATAAATTAAGATTAATTCACACTTCGACGACTGCAATAAGAGTTGCAACACCAATACCAACGAAATCACGGAAGTTTTTATACGACAACGATGAGACTACGACACTTATGAAAATGATAATTATCATGGATTGCAATTAAATGAATTGAAATTTTAGATTCAATTGGACATACTGTTATGAAAAAATCCTTTATTAATACAACTTTATTAATCACATTGATATGAATTTTGACATAGTTATGTAGAAGTATAAAACTTTTATCGTATACTTTTACGAGCTTTGACTCAATTAAACTATAAAACTTTGTTAAATATATTGTTTATGTGCTTTGACCAATTATGATAAATAAAGCAAATTAAGCATACTGTTATAAACATATTGTTACGAATTATGAAGAAGTATTTGATTCCAATTATACAGAAGTATTTGATTGCAACTAAGCATTGGAATAGATAAATTACGCTGAAGTATAGAATACCAGTTTGTTAATTAGTTCACAAGAAAAAGAAATAAACTGTCACATCGATTGTCTCATGGATGCACATTTGTTTTTCAACATTAAAAATCATTTTACTAAAAATTGTTTATATTATAAATCATATTTAAATGTTTGTGTAAATCAAAATTTAAATCTATTTGTCTCATCGGATTTTTTTAGTAGTAATAAAAGGAAATGAGTTCTTTGACAAATTTGTCAAATGTCAATTTTTTAGAGTCTTTACTATTTATATAATTGCTATTTGAAGAAATATTTCTATAATTATATTTAATTGTTTTTTAATATTTAATTAGTTATATTCTGGTAAATCCAAAAAAATATTTTTATTTGATTGATCAATTACTTATTTTTTAGGATAAAATAGGTATTGTAAAATGTTAATCCTACTAAATAAAATTTTGAATAGATATTAATTGTAACATTTGTTTTCAATGCAAACATTTTGTTTATTGTGCTCTGATGCAATGTATCTAACAAACATAAAAAAAAAAATCTGATTCTCATATTTTTCTTCATCTTTTTCGTCTCGCTGTTCACACCGATTTTCACTTTAAATCTGAAGACGATGAAGTCGAATTCGAAGAATCATCCATCGATTCAGCTTCACTCTGATGACCTCCCTCTTAATATCTTTCCACTGATCCCAATCCAAACCCTAACCCTAACCCTGACAATCTCTTCTCCCTCTCTTAATTCTACTCCTTTCATCAAAGAACAAAATTGTTATTTTCTCTTCTCTAAAACCTTATACATCGAAAAGAAGAGCGATTTGTATTTTGGTGAAGATGGGATTAACGTTCACGATGTTGTTTAGGTTTTCATCTTCTTCAACCTTCTTCTTCGTAATTTCTATTTCTCTTAATTTCTATTTTTCGATTTCGTTTATCAATATGAGTTTCGTTGCTCGCACTCGATGATTCTGTTAATCTGAATCGATAAATTTTTCGTGAATTTTCGTGTAGTATTATAACCTAATTATTATCGTTATTTAATTTTGTTTATTTTTCAGTTATTTAGATTTGTTCGCTCATGGCGATGAACTTTCAAAAGGATATTCCATCTGACATGTATCAATAATCGGTGATGATAATTTTTAATATTTTTATTCAATTATTTTCTCATTTTTATTCAATTGTTTCTACTGTTTTTAGATGTTAAAGTAATTTGTTTTTTATTGATTCAGCTTAATTTCAATGTTTGTGTTGAATATAATTGTTATTGATTTTTTGGTGTTAAACTTGCTACATAATTATTTTACTCATACTGCAAGAGAGTTGGAACTAATGCTGGTGTCTTTGTCTTATAAATATTTCGACTCTGATTTTTTTTGTAGCTTGAAGCAACTGATAAGAAATCATACCTTGATATGCTTAGGCTGTTTGCACATGGAATATGGAGTGACTACAATAGAGTAGGTATATTAATTATCTTTCTCTCCCTGCACGCGTGTGCAGTGGGGTTTTTCTTCCATTTGCTGAATGTTTATTTTTCTTTTCCCAGTAGTATGTTGTTACCATTAGCACACTTAATGGGAACTGTTCTTTGTTGCACCATTACATGTGATTTGTGATTTTTGAAATTATTATTAATTTGATGTCTGGATATTCATGTCTTGAGATATTAAGTTGTAACTTTTATAGAGATTTCCATAGATAGAGGGGGCATGTTATTACAACAGTAAAGCGGCAAGTAAAAAGTAAAGTATTATTTTATCGGGTGATATAGGTTATATTGTGTCGTGCCTATAAAGATTGGTTATCGAGTCGATGTTCAACAATTTCTCGTTAATGAGTTTGGAGGTTTGAATGGAAAGGGTAAAAATTATCAACACAAAATAAATGTAAACAAAAATAAAATAAAAAGGAATATCTTATCAAGAGTGCATATATACTACTTCTCACAGACACAATGCATCTCGTTCGGCCATGCACACTAGTCCAATAACTTTTGTTGCTTTCTCTGAACAACTTCAAATGACTCTCTCTTCTTGGCCTTATTCCTTTATTGATCCAACAATGCATTTTGGAGCTTTTATTCCTCTTGCTCCATCAATGCTCAAATACCTACAAAATGAATACAAAGCTATCAAATGATACACTATATACACAAAAACGCACTATACAAGAACTAAATGAATTTACACATAAAGTCGGGTTATTCAACTGATATTAACAACAAAGAGTCGATAAGTGCAATAAAAAATATATCCAAAAATAACTACAATTTTCACTTATCAAACTCTCCCCAACTTGAAATTGGTTATCCTCAAACAAGGCCAAACAAACTTAAAGCAGCAAAAGTAATCAACCAAAGAATCATGAATTAACAAGTTTGAAAAATAAAAACAAATGTATGGTTCAAACAAAAACGTACAAACAAGGCAAAACTTACCATAATTCTACAATGTGACATGTAAATGAAACAAATCCTAAGTACAAAAAACATACTAAACATTATAAAATAAAACAAGTTCAATCATGAATCACACCTAGTAAAAATTCATCAATAGATGAAAAATACACAAAGGTGAGGATTTGACACTCATCCACAATCTTTTAAACAATAGACTAAATTATGCATACATCTAAAAATTCACATTGAAAATATATAAAATAAGAATCACAAGGATTTTTCAAGGTTGTAATGTGGCTTGGTTAGCAAACAAGGGATAATTTTTAAAGCTAATCGAAACAAAAACTTTCCTAAGCCTAAGGGAGTGATCAACTCACAAAGTTTCAAACAGAAAATTCCAATCAAACTTCTTATTCATCCCAAATTTCAAACCAACACACATCACTTATTAGTAGAATATTATTCCATACTCTTTTTAGTTTTCTTTTTCCAAGACTTTTTCATCTTTTTTCTTTTGTTTTTCTAATCTTTCTTTTTCACTTTTTTTCTTTTTCTTTTCTCAACCTCATAGCAACCAACATATAAATGAGCAAACATTACTCTCTCCAACTTGAATTCAACCAACACCAATGAGTGAATACTACCTACTTTTAAGGCAAGGAAAAATTTCAAACCAAAAACAATGGTTGAGGGTTCAAGAAAATAAAAGAATCAACATCCATATAAAAATATGAACTAAACACACACAGACAAGCATTTAGCAAAAATAACATGGACATTGAAAAAAAAAACCTTAGATGGGTTAACAAATAATCATACACTCACAAGGTGAATTGACTATTTGGTTAGTGTGATACGGTGGGAGAACTGACTTGAGGTTTTGCGTTTGTTTTCGCAAATGTTTCGGTTGAGCAAGAGTCGCCACCGACTTTTTATTTTATCCTAAGGAAAGGTTAAAAAGCACAGCAAAAAACCTTTGAGATGTTTTCTTGGGTTCGGGGATTAGATTATAGAAAGGGAAGGTATTAGCACCCTTTCTATCCATGGTTATCCATGGGCTCTTAGTTACTTGCTTAGATCACTTGCCTTGTATTTTCAATTGTTTGAAATGGTGCTTTCAATTGTTTGAAATGGTGCTTTGTGTGTGGGTTTGAAAATGTTTTGAAAAGAGGCCATTATGGCGGCAACCTTTGTAATGATTCATGTTTGAATGTATACAAAGATGTTTTCGTCTTTTGAAAAGTTTTCAATGTTTTTGAAAGTTGTTTTGAAAGCGTGTTGTGATGTGTGTTTTGAAAAAAAAAGGCAAGGATTGTTTTGCAAGTTGGTCAAGTAACCAAGAGCTATCTACCCTAAATTTCTCAAAGATCTTTCCTATGTTTTAACCCTTTTAACAGTATTGTTCCACCATTGTATTTGGTGGACAATCTTGTGTTAGGATGTTAACGGGACATGCGCGGGTCATCGTTTAGACCATGAATGCAATGGTGCCAAGTGTCTTTGGCAATTTTCTTTCAAGGGACTTGATCATTTTTAGGCAACTTTCGAAAGCGTCATCGAGGGACTATGATCATTTGATTTGTTTTGTTTTGCCAAAGACACCCAACATGCAACATGGCCCATTATTGAAGGCAACAAGTGGAGTAACCTTAGGGGTGCAAGTGTGATTGGTGTTGTCCATTTTTATGCTTTTTTGTCTTTGAATTAGGTCAAGCTATTTGTTATTTGATTTTTGCATACAAACCCTAAGTCTATCATGGCATATTTAGAAAGCTTTAAAGTGCGGAATTTAAAATCCTAAATTATTACAACATAATTATGGGATGGGGGGTACAAATGTTCAAATGGGGATATTTAGCAAGAAATTTAAATCTAAACTATTACAATCCAAATTGAATATACAAGTTATTTAATTGTACAATAATTAAATAAATACAATAAATATACAAGATGCAAAAAATGATTTTTATATGTATGTAAAAGTATTTTCCATGTGACATAAATAAAAATAAAAAGAGTTAATTTTTGGGTATTTTTCATGTTTTAGGGCAAAACCCTAATTTTGTAAATAAATAGTGTTTATTATTTATTATATATAATATTTATTAATTATATACAAAAATAAATAAAAGAGAAGTATATTTGTAAAAAGTATTTTTGATGTCATATATTAATAAAAATAAAAGGTATTATTTTTACATTTTTTGTCCTAAATATTTAATAAAGTATATACAAGTATTTGTATTATATATTAAATATACTAAATATATACAAAATGAAATATTGAATATTTACAAAAAGTATATTTTGAGAATATGTTTTCAAAAAGGTAAAATAAAATAAAACTGAAAATAAATATATTTTATATTATTTTTTAGTGTCTTTTAAATAAAAAGTATACATATTTATTTACATGTTTATGTTTAATAAAGCAAATAAATGTAAAAAAAAAGTATAAAATAAATGTGAAAAAATATTTTTTATGATTTTTTATGTTTTGACAAAAATATCAAGTCAGAAGAAAAAATAAAAAGTCAAAAATAATTAAAATATCACATAATGGGCCAAGGGGGTGTAAGTGAAAAAAAGTGGTGTAAACAGAAAAACAAAACTCAGGCCCAGCCCAAGTCTATCTTCTTCAACCTCCAGCCAGTTTGTTTGAAATTCGCGCGCCTCCTTGCTTCAACAACAAACTCCTGATTCTTTGATTTTCAGCCAAAACTCACAACATAAACTATGTAGAGCATTAAATCACGAATTCATACATATAAAAAAGTTGTTCTAACTCTCAGAAATGAGAGAGAATTTCTTCTCCCCCAATTTTTAACCTAAGTTTTTTCCAATGTTCATGTCTTAAATTCTCTCAGCACACACAATATAAATGGAAAGTGAGGATATGTGTGGCTTCAGGGACATGAGTAGGACATAACTTCTTCACAAACCTAAGCCTAGATATGCTTGGATAGAGAGATAGAAGTTCAAATTCTTACCTGTTCAGCTTGAATCGTGTACAACAATGGAGGCACTTTCAATGAATTTTGAGGACTTGTACAGCTTGCTTGAGGTCCAGGGATGCTTCCTCTATGCTTGGTGTGCTTTGAATCCTTCTGAATCAAGCTATGGAAGTCAACCTGCAAGAGAGAAAAGTGAAAATGGCACGCTTTGCTAGAGGTGTTACAGTCTGTACCTAAGGCTTGGGATAGTTTATATGGATGTTATAGAATGTGTTTGAGCTGGTTTGGATGAAAACGCACGATGGAATGATGCTGTGGGATTCAAGTTGCAGAAAAGACTCTATTTTTTACAGCAAGAAGCTATTTCTGTGAATGAGGAGGTATTGAAGGTGGTTAGGTCGTGCCTTAGGTCTGTTAGGGAGTATGAAGTGTGTTCACAAAGTTGGCTTGAGTTGGTTCTTGCAGGAATGTGAATTATTGTTCAAAATGCAAGTTTTCTTCCTTCTTA